TGAAGAAACGGGTAAGTGCTGGCTCTATTTATGGAATGTGCAACTCTTGATCTTGAGGTCATGAGTTCGAACTCCATATTGGGTGTAGAGCCTGCTTAAAAAAATTAAAAAATAAACTATGAGGAAACTGAGACCCAACGAAGGAAATATCTCATCCAGAACTACCTAGAAACTTAGTAACTGAGAAGGGTCTGGAACTATGTTGTTCAGTGTGTTAGACGGTAGCCACATGTAGCTATGGAGCACTTGAAATGTGACTAGTCCGAATTGAGATGTTCTATAAGTGTAAAATGATCATTAATTTCAAAGAGCGTGTGTGGATACAAAGGAGGCAAGGATATGCAGTGGGGAAAAGACTGTCTCCAACAAATGGTGTTGGGAAAAGTGGAAAGCTACATAAGAAAAGGAGGAGGAGGAGGAGGGGGAGGCGAAGGACCACTTTCTTAAACTATACACAAAAATAAACTCAAAATGGGTTAAAGACCTAAATGTAAGACCTGAAACCATAAAATTCCTAGAAGAAAACATAGGCAGTAATCTCTTTGACATTAGCCATAGAAACATTTCTCTAGATAGGTCTCTTTCAGCAAGAGAAATAAAAAGCAAAACTAAACAATTGAGACTATATCAAAATAAAAAGATTCTCCGGGGCGCCTGGGTGGCGCAGTCGGTTAAGCGTCCGACTTCAGCCAGGTCACGATCTTGCGGTCCGTGAGTTTGAGCCCCGCGTCAGGCTCTGGGCTGATGGCTCAGAGCCTGGAGCCTGTTTCCGATTCTCTGTCTCCCTCTCTCTCTGACCCTCCCCCGTTCATGCTCTGTCTCTCCCTGTCCCAAAAATAAATAAACGTTGAAAAAAAAATTAAAAAAATAAAAAAAATAAAAAAAAAAAGATTCTGCACAGCAAAGGAAACCATGAACAAAACAAAAGACAACCCACCGAATGAGAGAAGATATTTGTAAATGATATATCCAATAAGGGGTTAGTATCCAAAATATATAAAGAACTTACAAAACTCAACACCAAAAAAACCCCAAATCCAATTTTAAAAATGGGCAGAAGACACGAGCAGATATTTTCACAAAGAAAATGGCCAGTGGACGCATGAAAAGATGCTTAACATCGCTAATCATCAGGGAAATTCAAATCAAAACCACAATGCGATATCACCTCCCATTTGTCAGAATGCCTAAAATCAAAAGGATAAAAAACAACAAATGTTGGTGAGGATGTGGAGAAAAAGGGATCCTCATGCACTGTTGATGGCAATGCAAACTGGTGCAGACACTCTGGAAAACAGTATGGAGGTTCCTCAAAACATTAGAAATAGAATTACCATATGATTTAATAATTCCACTATTGGGTATTTACCTAAGGAAAATGAAAACCCTAATTTGAAAAGATACATGCACCTCTATGTTTACTGCAACATTATTTACAATAGCCAAGTTATGGAAGCAATGCCAAGTACCCATTGATAAATGGATGGGTAAAGAAAATGTGATACGTACACACACACACACACACACACACACACACACACACAGTGGAATATTACTCAGCCATAAAAAGAATGAAATCTTGGGGCGCCCGCATGGCTCAGTCGGTTGGGCGTCCGACTTTGGCCCAGGTCACGATCTCACGGTTCGTGAGTGCGAGCCCCGCGTCGGGCTCTGTGCTAACAGCTCAGAGCCTGGAGCATGCCTCCGATTCTGTGTCTCCCTCTCTCTGACCCTCCCCCATTTACGCTCTGTCTGTCTCTCTCTCAAAAATAAACATTAAAAATTTTTTAAAAAAGAATGAAATCTTGCCATTTGCAACAACATGGATGGAGCTAGAGGGTATAATGTTAACTGAAGCAAGTAAGTCAGAGAAAGACACAGCATAGCACATGATTTCACTCGTGTGGAATTTGAGAAACAAATGATCAAAGAAAAAAAGAGACAAACAAAAAACAGACTCAACTACAGAGAACAAACTGGTGGTATTCAGAGGGGAGAGGGGTGCAGGGGTGAGTGAAATAGGTGATGGAGATTAAGAGTACACTTGTAATGAGTACTGAGTAATGTATACAATTGTTAAATCACCGTTTTGCACACCTGAGACTCATATAACAATAAATGTTAGTTATACTGGAATTAAAAATAAAACAAGAAAGATTGCATGTGAAAACAAATGTAAAATACCTCAATTTGTTATATTGATTACAGGTTGAAATAATATTTTGGTCTATTTAATAATATATATTATTAAAATTAATGTCACTTCTTTTTGCTTTTTTTAAAAATGTGACTGCTAGAAAATTTTAAAATACATATATGGTTCACATTATATTTCTGTTGGACAACACTGGTCTGGAATCTGTATCTTTCAGCTTCAAGGTGAGCATCCCTACTCTGCTTCCCAGAGTCTATTCTAACAAATCATTCACTTACCACCTATTAAGTGTCAGTTGTTCAGGGGAGATCAAATTGCAGACTAATTGAGGAGAAAACTAAAAACAGTAAAGGATAACAAATGCTGGTAACTCCTATCTTATGTATTTCCTAGAATGGTGGTCCTTAACTCTACCAGCCCCAATGTTGCCTTTTAATAGCAAACTTTAAAAAAAAAGTTTTTATTTATTTATGTTGAGAGGAAGGGAAAGAGAGAGAGTGTGTGTGGCAGGGACAGAGAGACAGAGGGGGAGAGAGCATCTCAAGCAGGCTGCTCACTGTCAGCACAGAGCCCGATGAGGGGTTCGAACCCATAAACAGAGATCATGACCTGAGCCGAAACCAAGAGTCCGTCCGACGCTAAACTGACTGAGCCGCCCAGGTGCTTCACCATAACGGAAGAAAGAAAAGGAAATCCTTTCCAATAATTGTTATTTCAGTATGCTAGAAAACATAGTCATATATTTGTACCTGTACATAGGATCACCTTGAATGTGACAGTACAAATGCAGACAGAACACCATGAGTGATGTTACTGTGATATAGTTCTCCAAAACTGTAACTTTTTAAAAACATTTTTTAATGTTTTATTTATTTTTGAAAGAGAGAGAGAGAGAGACAGAGTGTGGGTGGGGGAGGGGCAGAGAGAGGGAGACACAGAATCGGAAGCTGGCTCCAGGCTCTGAGCTGTCAGCACAGAGCCCAACACGGAGCTCAAACTGACCAGCCTGGAGCTCAGGACCTGAGCTGAAGTCAGATGCTTAAGGAACTGAACCACCCAGGCGCCCCTCCAAAATAGTAACGCTTAGTAAATTCCTGAATGAAACAAAGTACTAGCTTCTATTTACGTGATAGTTACATTGCTTGAAAATTCAGCACGTTACAACCCTGCAAAATCACTTTGTTTCTATATATAAAACACAGGCTCAAAGATTAATTATAACTTTTTTTTTTTCACTTACAGGAATCTTTAGAAGGACATTTGAAAGCTGTGTGGGACAGATGAGTCATGCATGACACTGTCCTACAACGTGCAGCATATCTAGCACTCTTTTTTTTTTTTAATTTTTAAAGTTTTTATTTATTTTTGAGAAAGAGAGTGAGCAGGGGAGGGGCAGAGAGAGAGGAAGACACAGAATCTGAAGCAGACTCCAAGCTCTGAGCTGTCAGCGCAGAGCCCCATGTGGGGCTCGAACTCACGAGCCCTGAGATCATGACCTGAGCCCAAGTCGGAGACTCAACCAACTGAGCCACCCAGGTGCCCCTGGGATACCTAGCATTCTTGGCTCCCCCCGCCAAACCATATGACAAGATTGTCCCCGTCCACCTGCAAATTGCCTATTAGGAATGTTCCATCCTGGTTGGGAACCCGCGGTGGTCCTTTGAAGGCCTTGCCTGCCCTCCGGCCTCCCCTGGCGCTGGCCTTCCCAGTTCTTCTCTAGGGTACTAGCTTTCCTCTTTCAGCGCCTGTGCGCTCTGCTCTTTGCCCAGAAAACTCTCCACTTTTTGTCTGGGTAACACACTGACTCTTTGGATCTCAGCGTTCCCGAACTCCCAGTCTAATTTAATTCCTTTTGTCAGGCTTTTCCACTGGGCTCTACTTTCTGCAATGGTACCTGTGCCAGGTTGAGATTTCTAGCGAAGCGCCTATTTTCGGTACGACAGTGTGTGTTTCACGTCTGTCTCCCTCAACTCTCAGCTCCCTGAGGGCAGGGACCACGCCCACCTCTCCACCGCTGGTTCACTCCGTACTTACAACGACCGCCTGCAACTTAGTAGGCAGACAACAAACATTTCTGTCATAACGGGGAGAAGTCGAGGAGGAGGCAGGGGCGCGCCCATGGAGGAGGAGGAGGGCATTTTTTCCCCCAAGGCAGGTAACAGTGGAGGTTGAAGACGTGGGGCACCTTCCAGGCCACTCGTATCGGCATCCGTGGAACGCACGCTAGCTCTTGGGGGCGGGTGCCTGGCCGGGCGGACACGTCACCCGCACCGCGGCTGCGCACTGCCAGGAGTGGGGCGGGGAGACCACCGAGACGGCGGAGGCGGAGCGAGCGACCGGATGCGGTCACCATAGAGACCGGGACTGACGGCGAGCGGAAGAGGAAGGCGCGGGCCGGACTGTGAGGTGGCAGCGGCTGCAGCGGCGGAGCCGGCGCCTCGGTTGGGCACTGGGGTTTGTTCCCCCTTCCCCGCCCTTCCCCCTGCGGGGGCCACAGGGGCGCCGCTTCCGAGGACAGGAGCAGGTCCCACTCCCGCGCCCTCGTCCCTGCTCCCCCCAGGACGGTCCTGGCCGCGTGGACCACACCTGGGCCGCCTTTACCGGTCCGCCGCCTCCCCCCCCCGCCCTGCTGCAGGGCCTCCTCCGGCGGGCCTCGGGGTGTGCCTGCTCTCCTTCGTCCGCTGGCGCAGGCAGGGCCTTTGCCCCGCCGACGGGCCTGGTAACGGGGTCTTTGCCCTCCGGTCCCAGCCGCGAACCTGCATTGCCTCCGCCGGAACAAACCCAGCCGAGTCCCCCAGCCCCTCCTCGACAGTTCCGTGACGCAGCCGGTTTTATTTCTGTTTGGAGACTAACAGCTAAAACTCGCTTTGGGCCTTCTTTCCAGGGCTGGAGCTGGTCTCTGATCGCTGAGAAGCAGATAGAGCATGGGGTCTGGTCCTTGGCAGAGGTCACTTCCCAAGCCAGCCGAGCCTCCGTTTGCTTTTGCAGGAGCCGTGTGTTGTCTCTAGCTTCTCGTCTCCCCACTTTGGTTTGGCTTGGGGCCCTGGGGCCCTGGTAAAACCAGACACCGAATTGCTCTTACACAGCCAGAGTCACCGTCATTTGCTCGTTGTCTCTTCACAGAGGAAGGTGGGCAGCACCAGCCTCTCAGCAGCTGGGATTCAGAGAAGGATGCCCTGCAAAATGGCTCCATCAGCCATTGTGCTCCTCTGAGAGGCTCTCCGTGCTGATTCACCGTATCTGTCCACCTCACTTGGGTGGGCAGAACTGTGCACCATGCCAGTGGCTCCTGACCACTCCCAACTGGGAGGAGGGGTTACTCTAGCTGTGTGTTTCCGTAACACTCAGGAGTAGGGTAGGGAGAGGCCCTTAACCCTTCCCTTGGGCTCGCCTTCAATAGCTAGTCGGCACCCCCTTTGGTACATTGAGCGAGCAACGTGCCCCCAGCCAGGGGCCCTTTGACAAAGGCCTACCGACGCAGGCTGTTGGAGTTGGGGCTGTTATTTTGATGGAGCATGCCCTTGGCCCCAGCCCCTTCTTTACTCGCTTCTGCTGTCTCCACTTAGATCCAGTCTACAGATGCGTGTAGTCCTTCTTTCTGGGTTAGATTTGGCAGGATTGAGTTTTGTTTCCTCGTCATTCTGGAAGACAGACCATAAGCACATTAGTGGGTGAAATCGACTCTAATACTTACTGCCATTTAGACGAAGGGTTAAATCCGGCACCTTGAGGACTGAAGCCCAGGCATATGCTTCCTGGGGATGCTGGGCCTGGCAGCAGGCCTGGCAACCTTGCTGTGTCGTTGACCTCATTGACTCCAGGCTTCCTGGATAAAACCATAGGCCTACTACTGGCCCGACACCCATCGACCTACTGATTGATCCTTGAGGCCGTCCCCTCCAGGGCATGCACGTGGCAGGGCCTGCCACCATGCGCCTGAGTTCCCTGTTGGCTCTGCTGCGACCAGCGCTGCCCCTCATCCTCGGGCTGTCTCTGGGGTGCAGCCTGAGCCTCTTGCGGGTTTCCTGGATCCAGGGTGAGGGAGAAGATCCCTGTGTAGAGGCCGTGGGGGAACCAGGAGTGCCGCATAATCCAGACTCCAGAACTGGACTTGACCAAAGTGATGAAGACTTCAAACCCCGGATTGTCCCTTACTACAGGGATCCCAACAAGCCCTACAAGAAGGTGCTCAGGTGAGAGCTATGTGTGTACGTAGCCCCCAGACCCCACTTGAGTGCTGCTCTAAGTCCTTGTCTCTGCCTTCGCTGGTAGTCACTGTTAGGCTCCCAGAGCAATTGTTTGCCTTATTACCCGTCATGATTTGTTTCTATTTTTCCCTTCTCAGGTCTAAGAAGGTCTCACTCATTGGTGTTAAGTTAGTGTTGGATGTTTTTTAAACGGGGCAGGAATCACGTCTAGCCATCTAATCCATCCTCAGACCCGTCCCCAAATGAACTCCAGTGTCAGCGGACGCTCACTGTAGTAGCTCATTAATGTTAGCGAGGAGGTGTCTCTCTCTTTTCTCACCCCCAACCCACTCATTACTAGAGGGATGTGTATGCTGGGCAGACTGGGCTCCTAAAGATATAAGGAGTTGACCCCTGGCATGCTGGTCCCTCCGCAGGACTCGGTACATCCAGACGGAGCTGGGCTCTCGGGAGCGGTTGCTGGTGGCTGTCCTGACTTCCCGGGCCACCCTGTCCACTCTGGCCGTGGCCGTCAACCGCACGGTGGCCCACCACTTCCCTCGATTATTGTACTTCACGGGGCAGCGGGGGGCCCGGACGCCTGCGGGCATGCAGGTGGTATCTCACGGGGACGAACGGCCGGCCTGGCTCATGTCAGAGACCCTGCGCCACCTTCACACACACTTTGGGGCCGACTACGACTGGTTCTTCATCATGCAGGATGACACGTATGTCCAGGCCCCCCGCCTGGCAGCCCTTGCTGGCCACCTCAGCATCAACCAAGACCTGTACTTGGGCCGAGCGGAGGAGTTTATCGGCGCCGGCGAGCAGGCTCGGTACTGCCATGGGGGCTTTGGCTACCTGTTGTCACGGAGTCTCCTGCTCCGATTGCGGCCACATCTGGATGGCTGCCGAGGAGACATTCTCAGTGCCCGTCCCGATGAGTGGCTCGGCCGCTGCCTCATCGACTCTCTAGGCATCGGCTGTGTCTCGCAGCACCAGGTGACAGCCCTTTCGAGTCAATCTTGGCCCCTGACAGTTGGTAGTGGCTGAGCGATTGGTCTCCGGGGTGGCTGCGGCTGGCTCCTTCCCAGTAGCACCTTGGGGTTTTGTCCTTCCTAGCCGCCGACCCTGGCTAGAGCCCCGGGGCCATCAAAGGTGGCATCTTGCCGGGGACCCTCTGAGCAAGGTAGAAAGGTGCCCCTGCTCACCAGCTCCTCCCATCACCACCCCCCCCCCCACCCTTCGCCCCCTCCTCTGACACATGCACAGTCGTAAACGATCTGGGAATGTCCTAGAGATGGCCACTGTCACAGGGAGTACAGTAAACCAGAGTAGTGGGAGTCCTTGCTGGCTCATGCCTTTCGTTCCCTGGAAGCAGTGGGGTCCTTCTCTAATTGCCTACCTACCATTCTTTTTTCCCGAATCCAGTAGCAAGACTAAGGCCAAGTTTCAGGGAACACCGGAATGAGCTCCTGCTCTCCGTCGTGATGGCGGCGGTAAAAAGCATGAATGCTGAGTTCGGTTAAGCGTGGTTGGGACGGGCAGCCCTCCGTGTGTGGCACTGATTGGTCTGATTGGTCCCTTTAGGGGCAGCAGTATCGTTCCTTTGAGCTGGCCAAAAATAGGGACCCTGAGAAGGAGGGGAGCTCGGCTTTCCTGAGTGCCTTCGCAGTGCACCCTGTCTCCGAGGGAACCCTCATGTACAGGCTCCATAAACGCTTCAGCGCTCTGGAGCTGGAGCGGGCGTACAGCGAAATAGAGCAACTGCAGGTGAGCCCGGGCCCACGGCTGGAGGTCAGGGGGGGCTTCAGGCGTCCGGGGTCACAGTGAGCGGGCAGCTGAGTGAGGGGAGGCTGGCGGGGTGGAAGCGTGAAACAACTCCAAGGAGAAGGGACCCTCGGGGACCCAGGTCACTCGTGAGATAAGCCCCTGGTTCGACTTGGATGTGGTTAAAAGTGTTTGCAGGCGAACTATGAGGAGCAGGGCTCAGTATAGCACTTAGACACGATCACTTCGGCTTCTCTCCAGTTGTGCCTCTCCACCGGAGGAGCAGAAGCCCAGGAAGCCCTAAATCTCTAGCACTGTCCTTCAAAAGCCCAAGGGTAGATGTGGAAGAACCCTCCAGTTGATCGTGGGGAGTGGGGGGTGTCAGAGGTGGCATACAGGTGAAAGCCAAGGTTCCATTACGAAGAGGACGTACTCTGGGCCTGGAGAGAAAGGCTGCGAGCTTTAATCTCTGCAAAAGCACATTTCCCACCGCTTCCTTCTCACAGCAGTTGTGTAAGGTGCGTTATGATCCCTATGCTTTCTGCGTTTCACAGGCAAGGACGGAAAGAACGAGGAATTGAGCGGTTAGCCAAGGGGGCACCTCACTGAGTGTTGACAGAGTCAGGACAGAGCTCCGAAGCCAGGACGCTGGAGCCTGGTCGGGTCCTGACAACCTAGAGGGCACTAACTGTGCATCCCTCCCACCCTAGGCTCAGATCCAGAACCTGACAGTGCTGACCCCCGAGGGCGAGGCAGGGCTGAGCTGGCCCATCGGGCTCCCGGCCCCTTTCACCCCACACTCTCGATTTGAGGTGCTGGGCTGGGACTACTTCACGGAGCAGCATACCTTCTCCTGCGCAGATGGGTCCCCCAAGTGCCCGCTGCAGGGGGCGAGCAGGGCGGACGTGGGTGACGCCGTGGAGACGGCCCTGGAGCAGCTGAATCGGCGCTATCAGCCCCGCCTGCGCTTCCAGAAGCAGCGGCTGCTCAACGGGTACCGGCGCTTCGACCCGGCGCGGGGCATGGAGTACACCCTGGACCTGCTGCTGGAGGCCGTGACGCAGCGCGGGCACCGGCGGGCCCTGGCCCGCAGGGTCAGCCTGCTGCGGCCCCTGAGCCGGGTGGAAATCCTGCCCATGCCCTACGTCACCGAGGCCACCCGCGTGCAGCTGGTGCTGCCACTCCCGGTGGCCGAAGCCGCTGCCGCCCTCGCTTTCCTCGAGGCCTTTGCAGCCAGTGTTCTGGAGCCGCGAGAGCACGCGCTGCTCACCCTGTTGCTGGTCTACGGACCTCGGGACGGTGGCCGGGGGGCCCCGGACCCATTTCTCGGGGTGAAGGCCGCGGCGGCCGAGTTAGAGCGGCGGCACCCCGGGACGAGGCTGGCCTGGCTCGCCGTGCGCGCGGAGGCCCCTTCCCAGGTGCGGCTCATGGACGTGGTCTCTAAGAAGCACCCCGTAGACACGCTTTTCTTCCTCACCACCGTGTGGACCAGGCCGGGGCCCGAAGTCCTCAACCGCTGCCGCATGAATGCTATCTCCGGCTGGCAGGCCTTCTTCCCAGTGCATTTCCAGGAGTTCAACCCTGCCCTGGCACCACAGAGATCTCCCGCGGGGCCCCCGGGGGCTGGCCCCGACCCCCCGTCCCCTCCCGGTGCCGACCCTTCCCGGGGGGCTCCCGTAGGAGGCAGGTTTGACCGGCAGGCTTCCGCGGAGGGTTGCTTCTACAACGCCGACTACCTGGCGGCCCGAGCCCGCCTGGCCGGGGAACTGGCAGGCCAGGAAGAGGAGGAAGCCCTGGAGGGGCTGGAGGTGATGGATGTTTTCCTCCGGTTCTCAGGGCTCCACCTCTTCCGGGCCGTGGAGCCAGGGCTAGTGCAGAAGTTCTCCCTGCGAGACTGCAGCCCCCGGCTCAGCGAGGAGCTCTATCACCGCTGCCGCCTCAGCAACCTGGAGGGGCTGGGGGGCCGCGCCCAGCTCGCCATGGCTCTGTTCGAGCAGGAGCAGGCCAACAGCACCTAGCGCGCCCCGGGCCCGGGCCCGGCCCCTCTGTGGAGTTCCCCTCTCTGCCGCAGCCCCGGGAAGGGCAAGGCAAGATGGACGGACAGATGGAGAGCTTGTTGCTGTATTTTTTTTTTTTTTTAATAAGAAAACGTTATTAAAAGTGTCTTCTGCCAAACTGTTTTTAGGTCTAGGGGAAATGGAGTCAGGAGGAGAATCTGAGGGAGGGGGTAGGGAGGCTTCCCAGAGGGACCCGCCGCCTTCCCCCTTGTCCTTCCTCCCCGGTTGCCAATGACACACGAGGCTGCTCTCAGATGCATGAGCTTTAATCATTCCCCTGCCTCACCCGGAAGGCGTCAGGGGCGATGGCAGAGCCCGGGGGCGGGGCAGGCCCGGCCCAGAGGCCCTCTGCGGTGCTCCTGGTGCTCCTCCGCAGGGGCTCCTAGGTGGTGCGCACGACCAGCGACTGCTCCAGCTCCTGCCGGCGCTGCTGGATCTTTAGAGAAATAAGAGTACTGGCAGGTTACGCTGTTGCTGGTGAGTGACAGGACAGTCCCAGCCACCCAGCCACCCTGGAAGAGCCTTTGGGAGCAGGGAGGGCTCCTCTGTGGTGAGGGGGTTGGTAGAAGTGGCTGAGAAGCGGGACTTCTCTTGCAGAGAAAGGGGGAGGCCTGAGGGACACGGGCCCCTCCACACCTTGCAGTAGAAATAGCGGCTGACGGCTTCCTGGGACCAGGGCTGGTGGTAAAACTCAGCCCGGCGCTCCTCCTCAGGGTTGCCTGCCACGTCCGTCATCACCTGGGAGGAAGCGACGGGGTCAGCCCTGAGCCCGGACCCCCTCCAGCCCGCGTGTGACAACATTTATTGTCTTCCCGATATGCTTGTCTTCCATCCAGTGCTCCCTGAGTCCCCTTCACCTTGAGGTCCCGGCTCTGGGAGCGGAGCAGGTCTTGGATGTAGCCTTTGGGGTCTCTGGAGAAGCTTAGCATGAAGTCCCTCTGGATCTTGAGCTGGTTTATGGACTCAATCGTCTCATGGATCTGCAGGTAGAAAGACAGACGCTTTCACCTGGCCATGGGGATGTGGGGGAGGCGGGAAGGGGGGGGGTTTGCTGCGTCCCTTTGAAGGACAATCCCTCAGGTCCCTGACGCCTCTGCAGCCCCAGAGAATGGGGGATGGACAGAGCTCCGAGTAGCGAGGGGAGGGCCACGTGCCCCCCCCCCCATCTCTCCGTGGGTCTATGCTCTCGTCTGTTGTCTGTATTTTGTCATTTCCGGGTTAATGTCCCACTCCAGCTCTGGGCTCGGGCCCCACCTTACTGTCCAGAGCGCTGATCTCCTGCTGGTTGGCCGTGGACAGAAGGAAGCTGCTCATCTGTCCCTTCAGGGGCTCCTCCACCTCCACATCAATGTCATAGCACGCCGTCTTCTTCTGGTCCGACGGGTCCACGCTGCCAGGGAAGTCCAGGCCTTGGTGTCCGTGCTGCTGCCACAGAGGCCAGGGGCCCCAGGGGCAGACCGGTGGGGGGTGGGGGTGGGGAGAGGGAGGGCAGGACGGCAATGACTCCCTGGGCTGAGGAGCAAGCTGGGGCCTCACCTGATGACGTGGTTGATGACAATTGGGTCAGGGGGCAACAGCAGAGCTGTGAGGCGCTGGGGAATCTCAGAAAACTTCAGCCGGGGGCAATCAAAAATCTGAAGTAGGAGAGAGAGGGAGAGAGAGAGAGAGAGAGACACCACTCTTGTCTGCTTGAAAAGAGCAGAACTACAGTCCATTCTGGGAAGGCGGCGCCATGAGCCAGTCTAACTCCTCTCCTGGGGCCGGGACTAAGGTGTCTGGGGGTGGAGTGCAGACACAGAGGTGGGTGGGGGCCGTGCAGTGGTTGGAAGCATGGGCCCTGGGCCGGGGGCCGCGGTGCAAATCCTGCCTCTTCCCATTAACAGTGCAACCTTGAGCCCGTCCCCTAAATTCGGGGGCCTCGGTGTCTTCATCTCTAAAGTGGGTATGGTCATGGTACCTGTCTGCCAGCCATGGTACCTGGCTGTGAGGACCAAATGTGATCCACATTAAGTGCCCGCGAGCATGCCTGGCACATGGCGAGTGCTCAATAAACACCAACTGTTACTTTGCTCCTCGAGTTGATCTGCTGTGTTTATTCAAGAAGTATTATTAACAATAATCTCTACTTTGGTAGAGCCTGGATCCGGGACTAGAGCCCAGGGCCCCAAACTCCCAAGTGCCAAGACTATCATGTTCCCCAAACTGTTGGCCTCTTAACGTTCCTGGCTTGGTTAAATCTAGAAGTGTGTGCAGGCGTTGCCTTAGTAAAGGCACTTCTCCTACTGGTGCCTATGCCTGCTCCCCACACCCCTGCGGTCAGGAGAGAGGGTACCTGCTGGAAATATTTGTCCCCATTGATGTATTCCTTGTCATGTGAGTCCTGCAGCCTGTTGGTTTTCACATACTGCCACAGGGCCTGCACGATGGCGGAGCGGCTCTGTGTGTGCAACCCCAGCAGCCGGGCCAAGCGGGGATCCAGTTTGAATTGGGGAGGCTGAGAAAAGATGGCCATGAAAATTAAATGAGAGAGAGGGAGTGGAAAGAGCTCAAGGCCAGGCAGCCTGGGGCCGGCGGGGACGTGGTGATTGGGCCCTAGGAAGGATGTTTCTGGAGAAGGTGAGGCAAGGAAGAGAACGGGGTCTCCCAGGGAACGCTCCGAAGACAAAGGGCATGGGGGGCCCGAGGGCCTCATGGCAGGGGGGTAGGGGTGGGGGCAGAGACCTGGTAGTCCAGCATGAGAAGCAGCGTGCATCGTACGCTCAGGTCCCCCGGCCTCTTCACCTGGAAGCCGTCTGTCTCCTGGGTCGTGGGTGTGCGGTGCCACTGCCCGGGGCGGAGGCGGGGAGAGGGGGGAGAGCTGGGTCACCTCTGAGGCCCATCTGGGCTGGGGGGGGGGGGGCCAGGGGTCCCAGGGTGGTCCCTGGCCCACATCTGTGCGGCCGGTGAAACCGTTGTCTGTGGAAAGGTGGCAGTTCCAGGGCAAAAGAGGTCTGGGTCTTACCTCAACTAGGTGGTTGTCAGGGCCATAAAGGTCTTTGTCCAGCTCAATGACCAAGCTCTTGAAGAAGGAAGAGAACTTCCGCTTCTGCTTGCTGGGCTGTGGGAGAGGAACAGGGACCGTGGGGGCAGGACGCGTTGGGAGCGGGTGGGGCTGGTCGGGTAGGGCGGCATGGTCAGAAGCAGGCCTCTGCCCCCAGAATGGCTCTTTAGGCCACCCACCCCCGGCCAGGGCTGACTCCCTAACCCATGGTGCCCACATCTCGTTCTGTCCTCAGCTCGGCCCATACCCACCCCAGGACACCTGGAGAGACCTGGGCCAGGACGTACGTCATCCAGGAGCTTCCCCTCCACCCGCAGCTCCCAGGAGGCGATGCTGCCATCGGAATCTTCAGCATCGGGCTTCGCAGGGTTAAACGTATTGGAGATATAAAGACGCAGCTTCCGCTTTTGCTGTAGAAATAAAGAGTGTAGTACAGAGCAAACGCCGCGTGTTCCCACTCCCGGGGCGGTCCCGCTCTCCGTTCTCACAACCGGGCCTAAAGCCCTCTTCCTGCCCCCAAATCAAGACACCTTCATCGGCCTCTTCAGAGCCTCTTGGATGTCCACCCGCTTCCGCATGATGGTTTGATCTAGTTTCCTCTCAAATGCCAGGAGGTCCATATAAGCCTGGGACTCGGGGACCAGCTCCCGGATCTGGAAGAGAAGGAGCGAGGGGCTCAGCCAACCTTGGAGGCTGACCGCACTTGTCACGCGGTCTCAGGGTACGAAGAGCAAAGAGCGTCGAGGAGAGCCGGCCAGGCTCAGGGCCCGGAACTTTGAGAGTGCAAACGGGGACTTCTCCCCGGGACTGCACATCCAGCAGAAAGGACCTGGACGTCTAAGCATAAAAAACGGCTTCTCCCTCTAGAGAGGTCCCTGCGTTTCTTCACTAGGGGAGGCCAGAGCGGCCACGGAGCCCAGCCACTAGGGCCTCACCTCCTCATCCTTTCCCTTGTCACATGGCCTCTGGGCCTTCCTTGGGTGTCTGCAAAGTGGCTAGGACCCTGGGGTCCTTGGGACAGAGGACGTGGCTGCTTGCCTCTGCCCTGGTGCCTCACCTTGTCACTCCACCTGGCGTCTCAACCATAACCCCCCACACCTAGCTTGGCTTGGGTTCACTTCTGATGCTTCCGCTCCCTCCACTCCTCTGCCAGCCTTTGGTCCCCTAGCTCTTGTGCCCTCTTTGTCCCACACCTTTATGTCCGCGGACCCGCTGCAATTCAGTCCACTGTGCCCCCGGGGACCAGGACGCTGCCCCCCCTCCCCCCATGGCTCCGCCCCTTCCCTCCGCCCCACCCCCTCCCTCTGGCCAGGGAGCCCCACTTCTTAATGAGCTTTTTAAACAAACAGTGGAAGTGACTGGGCCGCTGCAGCTCTGCTCCTGAGGGGGGAGGGGAAGCAGCCCAGGGTGGGGAGGGGGGCGGTGGGGGGAGAGGAGGCAGAGCAGCAAAGGGCGGGGGGGGTGGGCTGGGGGCTGCTGTGAAAGGCACTCACCCTTTGAGGGAGGATTTTGTCAGCCATCTTCCTCCTCTTGGCACTGTACATTTTTTAAAGAAAAAACCAGGTTACCATGGCGACAGATCTGGGAGTAACGAGGCCACCTGCTAAATTATCCCGACATCTCCACCCGCCTAGCTGGGGTTCCCACAGCCCGCTTGTCCGCCCGCCCAAGGGGCGACGGCAGTGGGTCTGGCATGGCGCTAAGTCCTCTTGCGGGGAGCAGACGCGGTCCGGTCCCTTCTCTAGCCTGGGAGCCCCTTTCCACCCCACCACACCCGCAGGCCAGAGAAATTTAGACTTAGGAGGGGTGGGGGTGGGGGAGCTGCAAAAGTGTTTGAGAAAAGCTAGAGAGGGGGAGGACAGAGGAGAGGCAGGAGGGATTCTGAGGACTTTCCCTTTCTGTGAAGCAGGGGTGCACAGTCCAAGGTGGCCTGAGCTCGGAGGGAGGGGACCCCCGACACGCTACCGCATCCCTGAAACAGGAGGTGAAGACTGAGCTGGGGGGGGGGGTGAATTATACCCCTGGCACCCTGGGCTTGGAAGGGGCTTGACGGGCAGGGAGTGCTCATGCCCTTGGATCACCTGCCAACAGGCTCCAGAAACAGCCCCATAGGGATCCGGAGAGAGAGAGTGCTCTCTTGTGACGCACGACTGCGGGCTGAACCTGGGGTGGCAGTGGGGACACGGACTCTTCCTGACCCGCTAGCTGCCTCTGATTCCCAAGAGCACCCCAGGAAATCCTTGGCGAGTTGAGATTAGAACTCAGCCCGGAGGACGGCTCCGTACTGCCCTTGCGTGGTGTTCATCACTGCCTCCTCCTGTCCAAAAACCTCTTCTAAGGCCAGGTAAGCACCTTTCACAAAAGGCCTGATTTGTTTTGAAGAAACGGTCTACGTGAAATTCTCCGTTCATACAAGACAAACCAGGAACGCGCGTACTGTGTAAGAGCGTGATTCACGTTGCAAAAGAGTTCATCATGGGATTCCTATAAATGGTGAATTTTCCTTGATGTGTAAAAAATATTTAATAATGAGGTAAGATCCGTATTACTCCTTTTATAGGACTCCATCTGGTGTGCAAAGGGAAGCATGTGTGTGTGGTTAAATAGTGAAACCCAGAGGGGCATCTCTCTTGCCAGACACCAGCAGGGGCTTTTGGGGTGACACCAGCTGGCTCAGACGGGGAAATGGGCTGGCCCCTGGCGATGAAGAGGCAGACCTGGTCCAGACGACGGATCGGGGCAGCTCTTTAGCCTCTGAGGCCCTAAGAATCACCTGAGAGCAGGACTGTGGGAAGACCACCCACCCACAGGACAAATCCCCAGGCTCCACCCCCCTGGCCAGAGAGTCGCATTTAGAATATCTGGAGTGGGGCTTTTTAAACAGTCCAGCCAGGGGACCGAGGAAGGTGCCCTGGACAGCCACACTTGGAGGAACACAGTCCCTGAAGCTCAGCCCTCAGTCCTGCCGCCAGCCCCACCCCCACCCCGGAGACAGAAGCATCTCCCAGAACCTGGGGACGAGGGGTGGAGAGAGGGACCGAGCAGGTGACACGGCGGAGGGCGCGACGGCCGCGGCCTCCGCGCCTGCGGTGGGCACACAAAGGAACCAGACCAGTGCCCCCTCAGCCCACCTCCCCAGAGGGCATCCCACCGGGGACGGCCCGTCCCTCGCTGCCCGTTCTTCCTCGCTCCTTCCAGTCTCGCGCCTCACCCACCCCGTCCCTGGGGTCCCGTGGCCCGCCCCCTCCGCGCTGGGCCCCACTCACCTGCGGCTCCGCGCGGGGGCGGTGGGCACCGGCTGGCCCTGGCTCTGGGCCTGGCTCTGGCCGGGCGGGGGCGCTGCTCGCTTGCGGGCGGGCTCCATGCCCGCGGGGGCCAGGCCGGGTCGCACGGCGGGGCTGCCCATGTACGGGGAGCCCGGGGGGCCCATGGGCGCCCCCTGGTGGGGCATCCGGGCTCCAGACGGCATCCCGGGGCGCTGGGGGTGGGGTGGGGACGGAGGTGAAGCAGAAACGGGCGCCCGCCGCTCGGACCAGGGCCCCGGTTCCAGGCGCGGTGAGCCGCGTCTCTCCCACCCCGAGCCCCCCGGCCGGTGACCCTGATGCCGCCAGCGTGAGCGAGGGGTGGGAGGGGCAGGGGCGCCGCCACCGCGCGGCTCGGCGGAGGGGGCTTTGCGTCTCGCTGCAGGAAGCTAACTGAAGCCAGGCGACGGCACCGGGCATCGCCAGCCTCGGATTTGCGGAAGGTGCCGCGAAAATGAATATTAATGGCGCCTCTCAACCTTTTCAGCGGATGTTCACATCCACGCGCTCCTCTGCAAGACAGACTGAGGGGGGTCCTTCCATCCCCACTTGACGGATGAGGCAACCGTGGCTCAAGGAGAAAAGCGACCTAGCCAAGGTCACGCAGCTCCTCCCGGCAAAGGCGGCGCTGAACTGCCGTTTCCCGCGGGGGGCCGGGGCGGCTCGCTCTCCGCAGCCTCGTCTGGGTTCGAGGCCCGGCTCCCTGCTGGGACCTCTAGCCCCCCTTTCCACTCTGCTTCTCCGTCCACCCCCTGGGCTGTCCTGCCTCGCACTCGCCCTCCCTCCCCACCGAAGCCAGCTCTTCTCTCTGGGCCCCTGCTTTTGGCCCCTCAGCCCCAACCCACACCCCCTTTGGCTGGTTCCAAGCCTCCACACCCAGGGGCTTGGAAGGCTTAGCCACCCCCACCCCCACCCCCACGCCCCATAATTTGCTCCCAAGGTGAAGGCTGGAGGCCACCGGAGGCAGTGAGGTCACACCCTGCCAGGATTCTAGGAGAGGACAGGAGGCAGCTGGGCTGGAGGTGGGCTGCCCAGAGGGCTTGGATAGCTCAAAGGCACTGGCATTTCCTCTTACACCCATCTCCCCCTTCCTGTCCGCCTGGATTACCAGAGATGTTTCCATCCTATAGAACTCCTCTGCTTCTCCCCCTACCCCAGTGAGGTAGGAAGGAGTCAGGGCTCCAAGGAAGCCACGGAGAGCAAGATGAGGCAGGTGTATTCCCCTGCCACCTCAGATGGGATGTAGATGAGAGCCAAGTTCATTAAGTGAAGTGTTTTACAGACTTTTTAAATCCCACTTGTCCGGATTCCAGAAGAGGGATTGGGGAAGGCCAGAGGGGCTGTCAAATGGCGGGTGGGCGTGATGGGGACAAAGCGAGCAGCAGGAAGACGAGGGAACTAGGGATGCGGCCCCTGTGCCTGTTACCATTTACTTGCCACGCACTTTGCCCCCTGGAGTGCCGGTGGCCCCCCCCCCCCCCCCCGCCGCCTCCAGGCACAAGGAAGAGCCCTAGGCCGGAGCTGGGCGAATGGCGAATTCCTTCTAACTGCCAAGTCTCTCTTCTGTCCCTCTTGCCCTGTGCCGTGCCCTGCTCCGTATCTAACCCCAACGCCCGGCCAGCCAGCTGTCCCTGTCCCTCTCTCCCACAGTGAAAACTGCCTGTCCATGGGTCTGCCTCCCCCAGCCCACCTGACCCTGTCACTCACATCTCCAGAGTGGGTGGCCCAGAATGGAGCCTAGGCCCAGCCCCGCCAGCATAGATGAACTACAGGGAGTGCAGCGGAGGGACTCACAGCCACCCGAGAACTGAAGCTCTGAGTTGGCCAAATAAAAAACATCCACATGTATATCCCCTCTCTCTCCTGGATGGGCCTTTTTTAAAGGGACTCCCCCAAGCAGCCAGACTAGACTGGCACTCAGCTGAGAGACACCGGCCCCCCTGGGAAGTTGCCCCAGGGATCTCTGGGACTGGAGGACAGGCGGCCCCAGCGAAACCCCCTTCACCCAATCAGCTGCTCTCCCATTCTTCAAGGCCAGCGATACTTGCTGATCTGCTGAAGAGGCCCTGAGAGGGAAACTTCCAGAGCCCCCAGAGGGCTGCACTAGCTACCAGGGCCACCCAACAAAGGGCCAAGACCCTAGGGACTCTGGCCTTCCTCACCGAGAATGTGCCTTCTTTCGGGTCACAACCAAATTTGGCCATAGGCAACCTGGCTGACTCCTCTGTACCCAACTCCAACCCAACCCCGGTAGCCATCCCAAGTCTTACAGCCCCTGCCTCTCCCGTTCCACCGCCCCCCACATGGCTCCCCACCTGGCTCCTGCTGCCTCAGCCTGAGGTCCCATCCCTCAGGTCACCCTGGGCTCCCTCAGGTTCCCTGTGTGCCTTCCAAGTCGGCTGGTGGCAGGACCGTGCTGGCCCGCCCCTTTGGTCTCTAGGCCTCACATCCCTGACTCCAGCCCTTCCTTCACACCTTTGAGGCATTAAGGACATGAGCTTCTGGTGGCTGAGTCTGCCAAGGGGGTCCTCAGACCCCTTAACTTGGGGTCTGTCCCTAGAGAGGGTCTCTCTCTGACCCCCGTGGGCAGAGGCCACCAGCAAAGCCCCAGAGCCCTCCTGCCAGGATGCAGAGGTTGTTCAGCTAGAGAGCTTCCCGCTCACGGTGCCTCCAGGGTCACCTGCTCCTTGCTCTCGGAGACACAGAGAGACACTGTCCCAACGGATGGGCAGACAACCCAGCCTACCCGATGCCATGTCCCCCACCCCCACCGCGGGGGGGGGGGGGGGGGGCGGGGGAACCCCTGGGCCCACCCGGCAGAGACCAGAAGACACCCCCGGTGGTCCGGGCGGGCCCCCCCCTAGTTGGGGGGGGGGACAGTCCCCAAGTCCCACCCCCAGCCCCTGACAAGGACCCATGCAAACGCCTCCCGTCCCCGCCCGGGCACCCATCCCCGGCCCGCCGCCTGACGACGTGTTCGAGTGCCAGGGCGCCGGCACAGTCCCGGGGCTGGGCCGCGGGGCCGCGGCGCCCCTGCCGGAGGGGTGGGAGAGCGGGAGCCCCCTCCCGGCCCCTCCCGATCATCCCTCCATTCAGCCCGAGCCAGCTCGCTCACCCTCCCCCGCTAACTTTCCCCCACTCACCACCCCATGGACCAGAAACTCAAAAAGTTTGCTTTTCGTGGCTTTGCGCGCCCCTCCGGCAACTTCGTCCGCGGCCATCGGGGTGGGCTCAGCGGCTCCTCTCACTCTCTCTCTCTCTTCCTCTTTCTTTCCCTTTTCTGCCTTTTTTTTTCCTCCAACTCTCCCCTCTGAGTCCTGCTGGGCTCTCTCACACTTCTACTCGAGCGGAGTGGGGAGGGGGCCCCTTCAGGGCTGCCCTGACGGCCCACGGCCCACGCCGCCGCCCT